AGTCTGGTTTAATAGAGTATTGTAACTTTGTAAATTTAAGAATAGATTAATTAATATACAGAACACTTGTCGTCCAAGTGGTTGGGAACCCCTTTCTATGGTAAGCTTATAATTAACTGAAGTAACATAGTTTACCTGTATCCATTTAGTTCATGTATATATATAGTTTTAACTACTGTGCATTTGTTCTAATATGAATTTCTGTCATAATTTCTATCACACAACAGTCCTGTATCTATTTGTTTAGACGCAATATTTAATTGGATCATCGTATGTCTAAATTCCATGCCCCCGCCCAAACCCACATGTGGATAATCATCGTATCGTTGTTAAAGGAACATGCCAAGGTAAGTAAAGTAAATAAACCGAAGCCCCGTGTGCTACAGGCATTGCATCGATCATTGGAAATCAAAAACTGGTAAGCCCATCCCAGTCATTGCACACTGCATGGTATTGAACGTCTTAATTAGCACAATAAGGTACAGATGAGCAGAACGTAGAAGAACGGTTCAAATGATAGTGATGTGTTCTTCCTCTGAATACTACTATGATACACTTGGGCTCCCCTAGAAATACGATGTTGATTGAATCAATCTATTTTCGTTAAATTATTTTATTCAGAACTTAACGTTAAAATTAGCAGAGAGTTCCATCTTACTAATTACAGTTTGGTAACTGATACAGATGTTCGCACCTTTGTTGACTCTCATTGAAACCAGTTCCAGGTGCACAAGGCATCGATACGTAGGTTCCATGTACACATTGCCTAAATCGCTTGCAGTCATTTGGATCAATGACAAGTGTTGTGTCCCCCGGAACACAGGTTGCTATAAAACAGTAAATGAAAAAACAGTGATGATCTCCATTCTTTTAAGAATATAACTATAATAACATATGATTGATTGTGTATATTAGATACTAACAAACTGTCTAATGATACAACAGAACGCAGTCAGAGACACGAGAATATATAATATACACAAAGAGTTTTTACCAGTAAAATAGTTAAAAACATATTAAAAAAAGTGGAAGTGGCGAGGGGACAAAGCCACTGCCAAAGATATATTTGACAAAACGTTATACACAGTATAGAAGGCACCTTGACAGATTCAGATCAAATTAATATTTGTCCCCGTCAGACCGGACTGACTAAAAAATGCGAGAAAAGCCCCTAAATA